ACAAAATAACCAAGTGATTACGTGCGACTAAAACCACCTGTGTTCCCTGATTGGTTTTAAACCCAGCACCGCATTGAAATTCACGACCTATTAATACCTATTGTTTCACTCTGCAATATTCATTCAAGTCTCCAAGCCGAACCTTCTTCATATCAAGTGAAACACAGTATGCGCTTGCCGTTTGTTTTGATTGGAGCTCTTTTTATCATTTTCGGGAGTACCAACGTGGTTGTGGCTGCTGGAACTGGTCGGGAGATAACTCGAAGCTCACCTATCGATGTGGTTCAATCTCCTGCTGAAAACACGAACGACATTAGGGTCCTGCGTACGCTTGAGGATGGCAATGACAACCAAGAGAGGGCACTCGACTTGTCCAAGCTTCCTCAAGGCGTTAATGCGGCTGCCGCCGAAAAAAATCGAAAATGAGTGGCTACGCAATACCGCGAAGTATAAAGCCATGAAGAGTAGCGACGACGAGCTTTTCAAGGCCTTCGCAATTTGGAAGGGGATGAATTATACGAAGCGTGATGTCGCTTGGGCAATGCTAGAACTCCGTACGAATCCTGTAACCATCGTAAAATTCGTGAGACGCTACAACAAATATCGTAAGAATCCCGATATCCGGCTCGAGTAGGTAGGGGTTGCCGAGATATCTGTGCAAACGTGCTATGGTGGAGCTACAACATGAACAGAACGAGTAGATTACACTAGTAGTAGTATCCCTGAGATTGAACAGCAATGTTGTTACAGAGCATGAACCAAGAAAACTTTGCTTTTATTTTTTGAAACCGCTGCTGAATCACTTTTATTTCTCGTTAATAACTACTTAGTGCGTTTTATATTACTAGAGCACTTAAGTGCTTTCCGATTCCAGAAAAAAACATAAATATCACATAAAGCCAATTTGAGGATACAGTTGAAATTCCATTATTCATTTTTGAAATATTCTGACGGCCACGCAGCTAACCTGCAGAATTCCTGCTCGGCTTCGGGGCTTCTATTCTCGGTACAAGTGTCACGATCCGTGATCTCAATGTAGCCATCAGGCGAAGCCTCAGCAATGCATTCAAAACTCTCGACGGTTTCCTCCTGTTTGCTGCAAAAACGAAGGGCAAGATCTTACTGCGAGATCCAATGAAGTGAATGAGCTGCTACATACCGACGAAACCCGGTACCTCCAGAAGCTAATGACGAGAGACCTTGAGCTGAAAGCAGACGCTGTAGTAGACGAAGTTTTTGAGACACCGTTGATCGAACAGCGTGGTTGTGTTCAAGTCCCCGTCGTGCCAGCAGTGCGAGAAGTCCTATGTAAGTTCCCGGGGGTTAAATTCAACGAAGTTTGCGTCACAGTTGATATGAGGCTGTCACTATACGAGCTTCGTGCGACCATCTCCAGAGCGGCAGTGATCACTTTTGACGGTCTCCGACTTTTCTTGGCAAAAGAGATAAAGGGAGATTCATCCAATGACCAAGCTACGGCCTGGCGACGGATAACATCGAATACATGATGAGAGATGAGGCGGAATTGAGCGACCCGTACGATCTCGTGAGGGCCCCAAGTGTGAAGTATCTCCAGCTTTTGGTGAAGAGTCTGGCAATCGTTGTGAAAGGAGAACGACCTCGTCGTTGGGAGAGCCTATACCGTTAGTGGTAGGATATACAGTCATGTAGTATCCATTCTTTCAACAACATCGGGTGGAGCTATCTAGAAAAGCTGTGTTACTTGGACTCGTACGCCCAACCGTGCAAGCCCAACTCTACCGACATTTCGTCGGCCGTGTTAGAGACGATCAAGACGATACTTCATTCGACCGCAAAACTGATGGCGGATGTTGCACACACATCTCTATGATGCGTCAAGATCATTCAGATCCGTCCTGGATTTTTCTTTGACAAGTAAGTATTTTGGATATTTGCTGTGTTGGAACCAAAGGAACTGAAAGACGAACAGTACGAGGAGGACGAGGGCGGATCTGAGGAGGGATACGGTCGAAGTATAGAATATCAGCTCATCGCGCGTGAAAAACGCATAATGAAGACGGCGTTGGCACAGACTGTGGTGGCGGTGGAGAGGGTCAACTCGCGGTGTTTCAGAAGTGCTGTTGGTATCGTCTCGAACTACTGCCAGTGGATCTTCTTCAAGACTGACTTTGACACTGAAAAAGGGATGATCAGAGTATCAACTGACCACGACACGTTAACGTCTACGCTCGACGAGATAGCCCATCCAGTAAAACTACCAAAATGGTGGGATATGATACAATAAAGGTGTTGGTACCTGGGGCTGCTGGAGTCTGAGAAAGGGGAAGAGTGGGATGCAAGGAGATCTTTTTGCAGACCACGTTTACTCGTTGACCTTTTTTCGGATGTAAAAACAAAAATAACTTGGTTGTGCTCTTGCGCTCATCAACAACTGGCGTCGTATGGGTGTTCTTGCAAGGTGGAGACAAGTCTCGAATGTGGCCCAAAGGCTACATCCTCGTGGTTGCTATTCCATTCAACGTCTGCGCCGGTTTAAAACCTACATGGACGAGTCAAACTGCGGACGACTTCTATCGGTGTGTCTACTCACACCGATGCCTTGTGTAGCATTGGCCACGCTGGTGGAATCAGTACCTCTCGACTCTCCTGAAGCCGGGCCGTATAAGAACTACATTTTCTGGATTCGAGCTTGGATCGTTACAGCGTTTGTGGATTATTCCATGGTCATTCAAATGAGTCAAAGTCTCGCGCGGCTGAAGATGGAGCACAGCTACATCGTGATGATTGCTCTGGCTGGGAGCATGATTTCGTTTGGTGTTGTGTTCGCCGTGGCTGTGTGGATTTCATTCCCTGTTCCGTTCAGTATGCTTGTGGCTTCACCTCCGAGTGTGGTCGTTATCTTGGTTAGTATTGGATTTATATGGAGAGAACGGTGGCGTTCCGATGCAGCTTTACGTCAAGATCTCGTTCGACACACCATGGTATTCATGTGCCAAGTAGCGCTAACTTTCATTTATCCTCTGTACATCTTTGGTTTCTCCTCTATCAGTGGCGTACGGCAACTATTCTATGTACTACTGCTACCTGTTATCAAATCGGCGAGTAGGAATTGGATCAGTTACACCTTAGCAGGCCAAGACGATATCAAACCAGAAGTTGTTATATTCAACGTCGAGGTTTTCAATGCCCTTTACGTATCCTCAGCGGTCCAGCATTCATCATCACTTGGAACTACGGTAGCTCTCATGCTTATTGATGTGATCCACTTTTGGTTTTCCATGCGGGGCACTACTGCAGTATTAAAGAAGGTGAAAGAGTTAATGGCGAAGATTCCACCGCATCATCCAATTGCCAAGGAGAATTTTGTGGAAGTGGCGCTAAGAATTCTGGCAATTCAAGATCGCGCTCAATCTCACGAACGGCTACGAAGTCGGTTGAATAAGACAAACAAGTCATTGATACTTGAACCAATTCAGACATACAAGAATTCGAGCGAGGATATTTCGCTACGAGCTCCAACTCGCGCAGAAATTTTGTCGGTGATTCGAGTCGGTTCACGAGACGTGGGAGCATTTAAGCGCTTGATGAGGAAAGCGTCAAAAGTTTTCCCTGCTACTCCTGTTCAGCAGACCAAAATGGTACACATGTCTTCAGGTCCGAGAATGGATTTCAAGCAACCCGTTGCACCTTGCTTAGGACTGGAAGCCATTTTCTCTTGTAATGAGCGCGAGGCATTCCTAAACACAACAACACATGTGCTGTATATCACTGAATATCTCGTGCTGGTAGAATACACGGAAGCAGTGCTTCCTATGGTCTACGGTACGGATTACGTGCCTTTAATTAAAACTCGTTTGCTAATGAAGCATGCTTGTAGCGCTGTACTCGATGATCGCTTTCCACTTGCCGAATTGTACTTACAATCTATCGCTCGCAAACCTGTCGAAGAACGAATTACTCACGAATGTCAGCTTTGTGGTGGCCTATAGTATGCTGGAATTGACGTCATTGATGGTGGCAATGGTCGTACTCAAACGCGTGTTGGGCATATCACCTGTACACCAACTCGGTTTTGTTCTGGAGACGCAGGCGACAATGGTTCAATCTAAGTTGATGCTATGGTTTGTGTACGTGATGCAGGTTCCACTCGAACACGTTGGTAAGTACCGAATTTCCTTTTTTATGGTTCTAGATTTCTGTTTCTGAAGATCGCATAGGCACCGACTTCAGCTTTAAGTTTAAATGGGCCCACACAGCTCACCAGGAAAGCGAAACTTGACTCTGAAACCTCCAGGTGCCGATTTTGGATTTGAGACAAGTTACAACGACTCTGTAGAAGACACATCAAAGGAAAGGGAACCATGCCTGTGAACCGCGATCGGCCTGCTGGAATTCCATCTCGGGCGATTGAGCGGCCCCTCGCAGTGAAGAAGCCGTCCGGACTGAACGTCACACGCTTCATCGCTCGCGAGGAGGAGCTGCATCAGGCACGAAAATACACTTCTAATAACGAAACCAACGCAAGTAGAGCACTTTGGGAAGAAAAGCAAAACCGCCTATCGGGTAGTGGTGCTCGTACCCAGCAGAACAAGCGGTTCGAGTATTATAAACTGTTGTCAGCGATTTTTTTTATCTGATGTGCCATGTTTTACGGTCTATATTGTAGACTTGACGAAGAGCGCGAGTTATTGGACAAGGAGGTACTCGCGATCCGACAGGCGCGACTACAAAGATACTACGAAGCCTGCTACCAAGAGTAAGGGATATTATTTTTTTATTTTTTGCAATTTAAATAATTTGTTTCGTGGCACCTGCAGTTGGGAGCAAGAGTTGCGAGCTCGTGGTCTAGCGCTTGTACGTGATCGAGACTAAATAACTCCAGTTAGAATCTGACAAAATAACAGATTTTTCAGGAGTTGATTTTTTTGTACTTCTTAGTACTATTGATCGAGTTTTATCATACGACACCTTCATTCTCCAATAGGGGCTCCTCAGCACTTCCGGCACTCTTGTTTTTTTCTTCACGAGGGAGCTCTGAGCTCACTGCAGACGGAAGTACTACGTAGTGAGGTGGTACTGTTTCAGACGGGTAGATTAGCAACAAGTAGAGCAGCAGGGTGACATATAAACCAGCGATGGTGACTAGACTAATCCAAGCTGACGCTGATAATTTTTCTGGAAGGTTCTTGAGGAGAATATCATAGACAAGCGTGTAATTCACACCACAGAGCAACGCCGTGCCTACGACAAGGAGTGCTGCAATCCACCTAGTGTTTACGAAATGCGGTCCCATCAGTCTCTTGCTAGTTGTGAATGCGAGTAGCGGCAGTAACGCAAAAGGTAGCTGGACACTCTGCAGAACGTTGAGGAGCTCGTTAAAGCGGTCGCTTTGGAATTGTCGGTCTTGACTGATTAGAGCCACGATGATAGCCGGTATCAATGTCACTCCTCGGGTAAGCGCCACACGCTTCCAGGCTGCGATCCGGATATCCAAAAAGCCCTCCATTACGAACTGACCAGCGTAAGTACCAGTCATGGTCGAAGCCTGGCCAGAAGCAAGTAAACCAATCGCCCAGACTACCTTAGCATATCCTCCAAGGGCCTCGCGTATGGCCTCACCAGCCTCTGCGAGGCCAATTTCTTGGCAATATCCAGCCGTTGGCCCCGATTCAAATAATTCAGTACCAAAACTCTCTCCACGTCCATCCACGTAACACGGTGTGCATTTACTCACCGTATTCATAATAGCTGTAGTCACGTTACCTTCAAATACACTCTCACCACCAAACACACATACATTGCCCGTGAAAGCATCGTAAATCGCACTCCCCGAGCTCAACGCCGCCTTGGCTGGGATACACGAGGTCTGGATGTCTCTCCCATACAAACTCGAAATGGGATTACTACTCAGAGCATAGCACTGACTGCTGAAGAAGCTGCTGGCAAATGCACAAACCACAGCAGCGTTGATCAAGAAGCTGACGAACAGGGCCATGACTGCTTCCAATCCAAAATAGTAATTTGCTTCCTTCACTTTTGTCGGAAATCTCGTATCAATTCTCCTTTCTTGGACCAACGCTGAGTGAAGAAAAATGTTGTGAGGCATGATAATAGCCCCCAGCATCGCCACGGCCTGCATGGTATTCTGCTTGTCCATTCTGGGTTCCACCACCCCTTTAATTATCTCAATCCCGTCTGGATCACTCATGGTGAAGTCGGCAAAGAAGCACACGCACATGGTGGCAATGAGCAGCAAGAAGAACATCTCGAGGTATCTAGTTTTTGAATCCCCCGCTTTATGGAGTGCCAGGAAGGTGAAGGTATCCAGCCCAGTCAACAGACATCCCAACCATAATGGTAGCCCGAATAGAAGCTCGAAGGCTACAGCCGATCCCAGAACCTCCTGGATATCGCTACCGATGATGGCGAGCTCCGTCATGATCCAGAGTCCGAAGGAGACGAGTGGAGGGTACTCGGAGCGACACAACTGAGCTAAATGTCGCCCGGTGCAGGCTCCCAATCTGGCGGCTAAGATCTGGTAGAGCCCTCCGAACATGGTGCTGAGTAGAACGACGTAGAGCAGCTGGTAGCGTGTGTACGCCCCACTTTGTAGGTCTGCTTCGAGATTCCCAGGGTCCAAGTAGGCCATGCTCATGAGCCAACCGGGACCGGTATACGACCAGAAGATGGACCAGGAGAAGCGAGGACGATGCGGGTGCGTGGTGGCATCGGTGAGGCCACGAGGAAGAGGCTCAGGGACGAACTCGGAGCTGGTCATCATGATGCAGGTTGGGTTTTGGCTTGAGACTTTGGTTGAAGCTATAGAGAGGAATTTAACCCTCTATTTTAGAATAGTATCAATAAATTACTTCTAATAACTAATTATTGCGAAAAAGAGGTAATATTTCGAGTTAAATTAGTATTCGTAATCGTTAAACATGTGTTGTGGGTTTTCAAATAGGCATAGTGTGTCATGAACCAATCGACATAGAACGTCGACGCCATTGGACGAATGCGCCAGCACTTCAACAATGAGGTGGGCGACCAGGTGTCCAACGCGGTGAAAAGCATTGGCTGGATCCATTTGTTCCCGAAAGAACGGATATGGCCCCGCATATGGCCATCAAGTTGGAGACACAAGATGAGCCATGATGGTTGGTCGTCAAAATAAAAACGCCACGACAATCCTCAATTCAAGAATTTGAAGCCAGGTGGTTGTGCATTCCTAAAATATTATCTATCTAAATGTGAACGAAATCATTGCGTCGAGATTACCAATTGACGACACGGGCTCTGGCGTCCGGGGTACTCACTCGGTGCGGACGAAAATGCTCAAGGAAAAATGAAATTGTGCCACCAGAATGGTTTGTGGTGAAGCTTGTCTTCTGTCATAACAACTTAAAGCATATCTACATTTCTCCCCATCTCTAATTTATAGTAGCTACTCAAGTACTTGTGTACCATAATACCAATGGGTATGGATATTTCTGGGAAACCCTGCTAGCGTTTTTACTGTCGTGCAATATCTGGTGCTTTAGAATGACGCAGGTGGAGCAATTGCTGGACGATCAGCATGCCGTCCAGGAAAATGAATCGTCGATGGTCGTCATCGACGAGAGAGCGGCCGATGATATTAAGATCCTTTAGACAAGAGAAACGTACCAAGGAACATGCCGACGACGGACACAGTAATGAATGAGAATTACGAAATTTATGGTATTAATACATGCTAGTATACAATACTTGCATGACGTCTTAAAAGCAGTTGATTATATATTCGTCTCCGAAAGGTTGCAATTTAAATAGAAAAGGTAGAATGAGACTCCCCACCAGAGAAAACCACGAGTGGTCTGGATCTATACAGTATAAACCGAGAATGTTTTAAAAAAATAAAAGCAAATTTCAGCTGTTTCGCAGTGTTGTGAAAACGTAGATGTATTGCCGCCAACATCTTCATGCTCTGTAACAACATTGCTGTTCAATCTCAGGGATACTACTACTAGTGTAATCTACTCGTTCTGTTCATGTTGTAGCTCCACCATAGCACGTTTGCACAGATATCTCGGCAACCCCTACCTACTCGAACCGGATATCGGGATTCTTACGATATTTGTTGTAGCGTTTCACGAAATTCACGATGGTTACAGGATTCGTACGGAGTTTTAGCATGGCCCAAGCGACATCACGCTTCGTATACTCCATCCTCTTCCAAATTGCGAAGGCCTTGAAAAGTTCGTCGTCGCTACTCTTCATGGCTTTATACTTCGCGGTATTGCGTAGCCACTCATTTTCGATTTTTTCGGCGGCAGCCGCATTAACGCCTTGAGGAAGCTTGGACAAGTCGAGTGCCCTCTCTTGGTTGTCATTGCCATCCTCAAGCGTGCGCAGGACCCTAATGTCGTTCGTGTTTTCAGCAGGAGATTGAACCACATCGATAGGTGAGCTTCGAGTTATCTTCCGATCAGTACCAGCAGCCACAACCACGTTGGTACTCCCGAAAACGATAAAAAGAGCCCCAATCAGAACAAACGGCAAGCGCATACTGTGTTTCACTTGATATGAAGAAGGTACGGCTTGGGGCCTTGAATGAAAATGACCGAATGATACAATAGGCACGTCGTGAATTCGTGGCTGTTTTTCGGTAACCAGTTCTTAAAAGAACGAAAGTGATGCCGGGTTTGCCAATCATTAACGTTAGAATACACTTCTGCCAATGTGTTTACTTGCGGGCATTTGTATTTTTTTGTAACGTGGTACGAAGAAGGTGCACCTTGAGGACTTGAATGAAAATTACAGAAGGATGGCCGTAATAAATGTGGCTTCTGCCAATGTGTTTACTTGCGGACATTTGTAAAAAAAATTGTAACATGGTACGAAGAAGGTGCACCTTGAGGACTTGAATGAAGATTACTGTGGCTTCCCTCCTATGTCACATCAAAGCGGATTGTTTTTACACGTTGTCCACATGTCCGATAGCCAGTTTTTTTTTTAAATAAATAAGGATACGTCCACCGGTTTGCAACCAATCTGTAATGCTAGATTCCTCCAATTGGTAATGATTGAAAAAGAAAAGCATCTGTCCAAAAAGTTTACGGTAAGACGTAGGCCAATGTTTTGGCCTAACAAAGTCTTGGCCTCACATGATTATGGAGGACGTGTCCTTTTCACGACAAGAAAAAACCGCACAGTAAAAAGTGTGAACTACACGTCTAAAGAGAGGCCGCCACAACATACATCGCATCACAACCACTAATTCACCAATTTCACGACAATGCATTTTTATTCAATCAGACCCAACATAAATACCTAATTTAGCCAATAACACTATGACGGCGTCACACAGCACCTTGCGCTGAGGAAGTAGCGCTTCCATTCGTATAATGAAGGGGTAGGTTTATGATACTATCTTCTTGTTAGTATAGTAAACCTAACCCTATCTAGACGTCTGTTTGAGCTATGATTGTGATAAAATGGAAGCAGCTTCCGCTCATCTTAGAAATTGTATGCTTTCTGTGTCGGAAGCAACTTCAGGCTTCCCAAATAACAATTGATGCAAAGTATGATTACTTGACCAATAAAAAGATAGTCTTAGAGTCAATATTGTCCAATAAAATGAAGAACCGTGTATTAATTTTCAATCACAGCTTAAGTAATGGTGATAAATTATTAGAAGACTCTCGGCAAGACAAAATCTACAGCAAGACATTAAATACTAGAAAAACATGACAAGATAATAGATATTACGACAAGACTAGATGTACGTGACAAGATTAATAATACTAACACAAGACTCAATGTACTATAACAATACACAATATACTAAAACAAGACTCGCAATACTATCTTTTTATACTAGCTGTATCTGTTCATGTAAGCATGCTGAGCTTTCACGAGTCGGCTTTTCTTATCAAGTCTGATATATCGTGCCAGCTTGTCGACAGTGAGCGCATTCAGGTTGGTATTCGCTGCATTTTTCATCCAATTATCGACGTAGTAAGCTGCATACATCGATAATGTGGCCTCTGAGGCGTCCCTTGGAGTCGGAATTCTCTTTTGAAAAGCAAAATCAACAACATCTTCCGCTATCAGCTTTGCAACACTGAGGCGACTGGGAAGGGATCCGCTTTTCTTTCTTTCCTGTGGTGTCCATTCACAAATCGGCTTGAATAGATGACGAGTTGGGTCAGCTTTCCAGTACATTCGATACAAAGCCCGCCAGTCTTTAGCTGGCGGCAGAATAGATATCTGCTCCAATTCGTCGATGCTGCTGTGTGAAGCTGCTGCCGATGGTGTTGAGATTTCTGATGGTCAAAGTACAGAGATGAGTAAGTCGATCTTGTCTTCAAGAGCTTTAACCGAATACTCAACAGTGCTCAGACGTTTTTCGAAGTGAGAGGTTGTATCGGCTGAGGAGGTTGAGAATCGTTGTGAGCCCCAAGAGATTCAACGCCAATCGATTTTGTAATCGTGCTTTAAATCTTGTCATAATACTTATGGTCTTGTCATAGTACAGTAGCTACGGTATTTAGTCTCACTCATACTAATTTATGTGAGGTGCTGCAGGTTTTGCTCACCTAAATTAGTATGAGTGTGGTTAATTATGCACTCAGACTATTTACGGTGCGGTAGAATTAGTCACCCTTAGACTAATTAATGTTTGACCCTAATTAGTCACACCTGTCCAGGATTGTTGAGCAGCTGGTCTGGATATTTTTTTTTGTTTGCCATATTCAACGGAACCGCTTGTCCAGCAAATTGATCTGGGGATTTCTTGAAAGTGGCTGAATAGCTGTTCAGTTCTCCATACACCATTAACATCCAGCGAGAGTCCACATCGAATCATGGCTTTCCGAGCGTAGTTCATTTTATTTTTGTCCCTTTGTGAGTTGACTTGGCGTACTGCTATAGTAGCCAGGGACAGGAAAAACCGCTTTCCTGGGTTCTTAAGTTTTCCTGACCAGGTTCCATCGGACCTCTGTTTGTTTCGAGCTCTCGTCTGAGTCGACATCGTTGGCAGCATCCTTCGAAGAGATCGCATCTTTATTTCCCTGAAGCGCAAAAGCTTTGAGGATAAAAGGAGCTGATACAGCTTGAGGCTTGCCTGAATCACAGTCTGGGCAGACAACATGCTGTCCAAAGCCCTCTTGTCCAACAGGCTTTCCACAAAATGGGTGCATATGATCAGAGCAGATTGGGGATACGTAAATAGGACCAATGAGGTCACCACACCCACCACACGGGGCAAGTTGCGCTATGTTGGAGCCCATCAAAAGACCGGTTTAAGAGGGAGAAGGTGCGTTGGTGTGTTGGAAGAATTTCTGGAATGAGAATAGCCCATTGTAGCCTCCAAGAGACGCAGCCCCATAAAATTAACATTTCAAATTATAAGATATTAAATGCTCTTCAAATAAGCTTAAGAAAGCTGCATAGCTATTATTGTTATTAAAAAGTATAATTCACATCTTTAAAATATATATATATATATATATAACCCGCTGCTTCGTAGTGTGCCGCGTTGAGGGTAAGTGGGAAACCCACGCCAGGATTGTAAACCGGGCCAGTCTTTTCCACTACGCCAATTCGAATGCCCGAAATAAGGTGATATTAATTATGAACTTAGACTAATTTTGAACACGACATTTTCTTGCTCACGGTAATTAGTCTCACCTTCGAACGGTGTGACTAATTACGAACTGTGACTATTTATTCACACAGACTAATTACCGTAGGCACTGTAGTACTTTAGTCTTGTTGTTTATAGTAGTTCGATCTTGCCGTTTGTACTAGTGGTTACGATCTTGTCTTAGTACTTGCATTCGTTTTATCGCGTAGTTTAAGCTCGCATTTGTATACTCTTTATAACAAAAATATATAAGTTTTTAATTTTTACTCTTCGTCACTTTCCGATTCCGCACCAAAGATTTTGAGGAATCGGATGTCGGTTGCCGCTTGCTCCAGCTTGGCCTTTTTTTTGATTTTGTACGCCTTGTCCTCTCCAAGAAGCGAGCATAGTAAATGACTTTGAAGTCATCAAATGAAACACAATCCGTATTCTGCAAACTTGACCAGTCCTTCCTTCGCCTCCGACATTTTAGCATCGCGTATTTCCTTGCATTTTGCTTCCCAGTTGTTGAACCGTTGCTTGAACTTCGTCTGAAGATAGAGTCGATA